CAAATCTAAATAGATCTTGAGTATAAGTATACATTATTAAAGCATAAAATAAATGATGAAGTTCTTAAAAACATTAAAAATTGCTTGGATAATTAAGGTACAACTATTTTGCTATCAACATTTAAGTATCAGTCCCTGGAAAGTAATAAAAACATAAATACAATTTTAATTGTATAAGTGGGTGCTATAATGCTAATCATTTGTGCTTAAATTTCTTGGGCTACATCGTTTGAATAAAATCAATCCGCTTTTAAACACACATTAAACATTTAAATTACTGTAAACTCAGAGTACCCAGTAAAATATCCCAGCGCAGAGGCAAATTTTCCCAGCATAAATCATGGAAAAAAGGTTGATTTAACAGTTAAATAATTTTATCCTATTAAAAAAATAACAAACACTTAAGAACCATTTGCCTATATCTAAGTTGTAATATGTTATGAATTTTAACTTTCTAATAGAATTTAAGGTTTGATTCCAGTATCGGCAAACTCGGCACAAAAAAGGAGACAACCGATAAAAAACTCCATTTAATAAGACCGCATTCATGAAAGTAATCTATGAGAACTGCGTGAACTTTTAATTAGCGAATTGAAACAAATGTTGTTTCTACAAAAAACAATTGAAAAAAAAGTACTGTTATTATGAAACAGAGTTAAATAATATTATTTTTTGGTTTGGGCAATAATTATTCGTGTTCCATAAAGCATTGACAGATCCTATAATAAGAGTGCACAATAAAGACAACGGGTGTAATCGCGTCAGTCAAGATATAATAGTGTTAATGTATTTATCTAAAAAACTGATAGTGTGATTTTAGTTATACTTGTATGCTATTTGCCTCAGTGTTCTTTAATTTGTTAAAAATAAGTAAAAGGCTAAAAATATCTGCGATTGAGTGAATGTCATTTTCCAATTTGTTGGAGAATTTTCCACTGATTTGGGGTCTAAGGCTACATTACTTCCTTTCAGGCCATTTTTGTTGCAAAAAATTTGACTAATGGTTAATTTAATGCAAATACCAATCACATATTGCTTTTCAAGTTAGAATTGTCGTAGGAATCGAAATTTAGTGAAGCTGAAACGGCTTTGTTTCTTAAGATTTTAAATGGATCCCAAGGTTGCGAGTATCTGTTTGCCTTCTTACTACTAAAGCACAGCTTTTTTTCAATCCGTTAAACAATTAGAATAACAAAAATTGTTACTCATATCGAAAACGTTTGATTAGCTTTGAATTCGCTGAAACGGTGGCACTTGTTAGAATTTGTTAGCTGGTGGTTGTTAATTTTTTGCGCGTTGGTCTCATGGACAAAGTCCGAGCTGGTGTTATTATCAACGAGAAAGGTTGTGGTATTCTCCACATTAAGTGAATTATTAGGAGAACATGTTATTCCAGCCACTCGACGTCCAGATGGCACTTGGAGAAAAGAAATAAAAGTGAAAGCGGGCTATATTCCTCAAGAGGAAGTACCTGCGTGAGTTTTGGGGTAGATACAGGGATTCTTGGTGGCCTTTTATAGTATTTGGTTTGGATGCTTTTAGCTTTGGTCAAATTATCCTCCTGTTCCGTGTCACGTATCTGGTTTTATGTAGATGGCCCCAGACATTTGAGCAGTAAACCCGTTTACAGATTCTATAATTTTGTGTTACGCTCGATAATCGAAATGGATATGTCTGTCTATGGTCTTGCTTAGAATTTATGAATAAACAATCGGGTTAATGTTCATGCCACTCATTTTGTCTCCTTTGGTGATATAGGATTTAGGTCTGTTTCCAGTTCTAATGTTTATGCGGTAGACAATGTTTGCTCTTAGTAAGGTATAGTATAATATACCGTATTTGAGTCTTTCACGACTCTTAAGTTTTTAATACACTTAACAATACAATTTTGTATAGTAGCTAACTTAAACTAAGTGCCCATGTACGGATGCGTACGCTCCAATGCGGTGACGTCGTCTGTCTGTATGTTGTGGTTTTTAACCTTTTTTTCTCATGAGTATGGATTACTCAAGAATCAGTGGTCTGCCCTAAAAAACAAATTGTTTTATTTAATATTTGTTGAGAATTTGTCCCACTACGGGGCGCAAATTGATTCATTTAATAGAAAAAAAGAGGCATGTGTGCATAAATAATAAAAAAAACGTGTGCAAGTGAGTTGAACGTATGCCCCAGCTATTGCGCATAACCGAGAAATCGCTTTTTGGAATAACTATCACAGATAATGTGAGCTATCTACGCGGACAGAACAGCATATCTGCCCTCGATGGAAACTTGGTCAAGCCAAAGTACTGTAGCAAGTGCCACATTAGTTCCTTTAACTTTATCCATTCTCAACCAAAATTATACAAATGGTCTAAACATTTTTTTCATTTGTGGTGACATTTGGCCAAAGTTTATCACATGCGTTGAGGGAATTCGCTGTGGTTGATTGATGCATGAACCCTCAAAACTCAAGTTTTGTATTATTAATCGAGTATGTTGCTTGCGCACATTTTCTTCAAGCCATTAATGTTGTCGTTTTGTGTTAGGTATCTCCCAAAACCCGTGGAACAAATACGTGAGAAACGGGAGAAGTTTGTTATCCCCGGTTTATCTAAGGAGGATGCTGCTGAAATAACTCGCCAACGAAGAGCCGCTGAGGCGGCTTCAAAGAAATTGGAATCCTCTACTACTAAAAAACGCACTTCGAAAAAAAAGGCCGCTTCCAGTGCAAGTAAGGTGTCACCCTTTTTAATTCACTGATTGTCATTCATAAAAACACGCTGTTATATTGTAGCCGATCCTAGTGCGGTTTCCAAAACCACATCATGGCCGACAATATGCGTTGGCACGGCTTGACCGAAAGAAGAGTGGAAAAAATGCAGATGGCGCGTAGCTCAACTAATTTTATGACGCAGTAACGGTGTGTGTGTGTTTATATAGCTTTGAGCAAGCAGAGTCACATTAGGTGCATTCACGAAAATCTATTTAATCGTGATCGCACACGCCTTCTGCTTGCCACAATATCATCTTTGTGTCTTGATTTTTATGAACTAGCGTAAGAAAATTGATTGGATGTTGTTTGTGCGCATTTTAGCCGCTAAAACCAAACCGGTAGAAGATGAGTCTGCGAAGTGTCAGTCTTCTGAGCCAGTTGATTCTGAAATGACGAAAGAAGGAGAAGCGGAGAAATTAAAGCGTCAACTAAGGACCGAACAGAAGCGATTGCGACAGATCGCAGAGCTATCCGAGAGGGCTGCATCTGGTGAGAAACTGAACCCTGATCAGCTAGCGAAGCTAGCCCGGCGAACTGAAGTTGAGGCTCTGGTCGCAATGCTTCAGGCCTCTTGTTCCTTGTAATCATTCTTTGCTCCTTTGTACTATATTTTACCCCAAATACGTTTACTTAGTAACAAGTTTAGTCCTGTTATTATCTCCTTATGAGGGCAATTCGGCAGTTGGTCTTTCGTGTTGCTGCCACTCACTTTACTGCACCAACCCATTATCTTGAATGTGTCAACACATCTTATTTTTGTACTGTTGCGCAAATACAGGATGTATTAGTCGCATAAGTGTATGACGTATGAGTTACTGCAAGCTCATCCTTTAACGAGGTGCTAAATGTTCGCTTGTTTAGTTGCAACAGCACATATAAAGTCCCCAATGTCTGTAATTATAGTAGATGTCTGGTCTAAGCTGTCCAACCTGGTTTTTCAGGGGGCATGTGGCATTTGCAGTTAAAGTTCCTCGATGGACCAGGTAAGGAGTTGGGTTGTATGCGCTTGGGGCTTTGCATCTGTGCACAGGGTAAAGCGTAACAGCAGTATGGGAAACCAAATCATGTAGGTAAACTTTGTGGAATTAAATCGTTTTTAACCTGTAGGCCGTAGCCAAAAAGAGGAGACCAGTAACCTCGAAATGCATAAACTGCCACCTAAGTTATCAAGAGAAGGCATGCTGCTGGCGAACATTTCATGATGGTCTTCAAAGGTTTGGGTTTTCTTCCATTAATTAAATTGCATTGGCTATTTGAGAGAATAAAAAGGCAATATGACTTGTGAGAACATTTATTTTATCAAAGGTATGTCAGGAGTACTAAACTTGTGGATTCTTACAAAGAGTTCCGGCCATAGTTTTAATCAAAGCAAAGTTCACATTAATTGTTTTTTTTTTTAATATTTTTGGTAATGACAATGAAATACATGTACCAAAAGTAATAAGGGAATGAATGGTGTGTTCAAACACATGATATTAATAACTTCCTCATTGTTCGTCTTTATTCGTGGAAGGATGCATGGTTTGTGTAGCTGAAATTAATCTCGGAATTTATTGTAAAAACGCAGCATTTTGAAATCAAGCAGCTATCCCCAGGAATCCTGCAAATTCATTATTTAAAATTCCGAAATAATTTAGCTCAGCCCAAAGCATATTTAAGATAATAATGTCAAATAAATAAATTCGTCTTTTGAGCTATTTTTTTTAAATTGGTTTCTAATGCACGTGATGTGTTGTTTTGTGCTAAAAGGTTTTGGCACTCAGTTTATCGACTTTTCCGGCATCCTTTACGTAGTGTCCAAGCCGTTACCTCTAATCTACAATGCACTTTTTAACCATTGTTAATACATGCAAATACGTTATGAATTCAATGCATGTAAAAATCCCTTTTCGAGGGACACGAAACATTCGTTCAACTAAAGAATGTATATCCCACTTGAAAATATTTTTCTGAATTTATTTCATGCTGATATTGCAACTAGTAATTACCGCCTAGGAAAAAGTTTAAATGACAGTTTTTTAAAAAATCAAATTAACTAGATTGGAATTACCTTATCAAACAAAAACACGTAGCTTTGAATTTTGTTAAATGGGACAGGAAATAAAAATAACTGCCTGAATTTTTAGTTTAAGTTGGCTGTAAATGCCAGGTTTCTAATCCAACTGGCATGCCTAGTCATGACATAGGTGCACATGTGGGAAGAACAGAAAATTTATTGGCTCAAAGAACTCCAGGCTAGGCGATCGGCTTCTGATGCTCTGCAATCTAATCAAATCCTCTTTGTCGACTGAGTTAAACATCTTATGACCGATGAGTTTGGCGCCGTATAAGGGCACAGACATATTCGACCACACTGGCCTCAGCCAATCCTCTGTCTCTCTGAATTCCAATGACATGCGAGGAAGATAAACAGACAACCAGAGAACGACACGAATGAGGAGCAGTGTGTAATGAGCGGCATAGCCAGCGTGGTGACTCGGATATTCGGCGCCGGACGTGTGGTTCTGACTCGGATCTGTCAATAAAGCCTGTTCTGTTGTACCACTTACTCCTACTAGGGCTCGGGTATTAACATGAGGCTTACCGCCACCTGTAGAACAAGCTTAATTGACCAATCAGAGGTGCCGCCTATCCGAGTCCACCATGCTGTCTGCTCCACTCATCATAGACTACTTCGCAGCATCACTGTCCTTGGTTAGCTACTGGTCTTTCTCGTAGGCCAAACAAATGTACGAAGATAGAGGATTGGGTGAGCTCGGAGTGGTCCCATATGTGGGATCTCCAGTGCGTCACTACACGATACATTCGACTAAGTGCCTTACAGAGTTCAACCAATGGCTAAGAGATTTTCTCACGTCCACTAAAAATTTTTCACTAAATTCCTGTGCACGTTGAACTGAATTCACTAAACTTTGTATAAAGGTTTTTCTTTCGCTGAGAAATATTACCAGTCTAATCGTTAAATTATGCAGATTGTTCAGCAACTATTTCGTAAATAAATGTATAACGGATTGTTTTTATAACTTTGATACATAAAAATCTAACAATCCAGGATGGATGAAATTGTTGATTATCATCCTGAATAAGGAAAAGGTATAAAAACTTGAAATAGCTTGCCCAATAAGTCGAAATCAAACTTACTTATCGTGCAATCAAAGGATCGATTTTCAGTTCACACCACTCCAATTGATAGTGTAACAGTTGAAAACAGTCAGCTGTCACTTTAGCATAAAACCAATCTACTAGCAAAATTTTGTTTTGTCCGCAGGTTCCATTTTGTGAAAGTAATGAAAGTTTTTCTTACTAAATCCATCTTTTCCGGTTATTTGAATTGTTCGAGTTTTGAGGTTCAGGTTGATGATCAGCAATTTACAAATTGGCATAAATTTTAAATTCATCTGACACCTTTGTAGTTTATAATGATAACCACAGCTGGATCGTCGATCGAGCAAAATAGAAAATTTGAAAAATAAAATAACGCCTAGAGAAAAATATCTGTGACGCGGCAGAAGGGAAGGATTTTTCTGATTAATTTTATTACTGTTCTTATCGCTTTGATGAAAAAAAGACATCAAAATATTTTTTCAGTTAAAATACCTATGATCCTTTACGCTGCATACTTAAATGAACATTTTACCGGAGGAAATGATCTGAGGAGAGCAAGCAAGATATTTATTAACAACAATATATTACACCAGAATAATTTATTCTAAAACATATTTTTGTGAGTGCTAATATATGGATTTTTAATATTTTTAAAAAAAAATCGGGATATCAGTAAGGTATGCGGATAAACAGGTTATTGCTCAAAGTACGGTAGAAAAAAACAGGACTAGGTTTTGAGCAACACCCAGACGTTTATGACACGTTTTTTGTGCGTTTCTTCAATTATAAAGACTTATATGGAAAACTGTTCGTTTAAATTCGCAAGGATACATCTGTTTGAGTTATGAAATAAGCAAGAAGATAGGCAGGGTAACTACAAACACGGGGGCGTATAAAAGTTAGCAACACGTTTAAGCATTTCACAATTGTGTTAATTAGCTACATCCACTAAATTAACTACATCTGCAATAGGTTTTATAAGGCAAGTAATATAAATCATCGTCCAATTTCTTACTATACTCTATTTCATTACAACTGGTACAACAGGACAGGCATTATTGACCAATCACGAGCCAGAATCACATGCAAGATGCCGTCCATCCACGTCTACCACGCTGGCTACGGTGCTCATCATATGCTGCTCTTCATTCGTGTCTGCATCTGCTTGTCTGCCTATCTTTTTCTCATGCTTTAGGAACGCAGGGGGACACAGGATTAACTGATGTCATCGCGGTCTAATATGTCTGCGCCCTAAAAATACGTCGCTACAAGATGTCTGCGTCCCTAAAGGTTATTCAAGCTGGTCGAGATCTCTGTTATTGCAGAGTTTATAACCTATCAGCCTAGCTTCACCATTGTGACTCTGAATTTATTAGCTCACATCTGGATCGTTTTCATAATGCCAAACACTATTACCTTCGAGAGAGAGAAACTCAACCAGGCAATGTATCAAAAGTTAAAAAAATTTATTATGAACAAACGGCATCGTGAAGCTGAAGGTAAGTTCTTCTTTAGTGCTAAGCTTTGAAGAGCGTGCACAAGCTGACTACTATAAGCGTTTGAGGAAGGAACGAGAAGAACGCAGGAGACAAATTAAGTTTTCTGCCGAATCGTTGGAAAACGCAAAAAGAGAAGTAAGGTGTTGTATTTATGTTACCTGAAGATTATCGAAACGAAAAAAAGGATTTCACTTCTTAAGGCGGAGAAGGATGCTGTCTTTACAAGGTTCAAACAGATAACTCAGGAATGCAAGTTCCGTGAAGCAGAAATTCGTGCGAGAAATCAACAGTAATTTGAATCGTTTTTTTTATAGCTATTATAGAGTGCAGGTTGAAAAATCCGGTATTTATCCTGATCAGTTCCAAAATCGGTCCCACCAAGAAGCTTTACTAATGTTATCGAAGGCGCAACACAAAAACTTTGGCAGTGTTTCCTCTCAAGATGTCATAAATCAGACGAATGCCTTACGAAAGCAAGTGGGGCAGTTGTACGGCACAAGCCAGGTATCTGCTGCTTTTTGTGCTTTTTTTAAATAATTTCAGGTTTAAACAATATGTTTTCTTAGTATCCCCCGTCATCGGCGCATGGAGTCCATGAATCTCCGATTGTCACTCAATCTGGTAACCACAGCTTTGGGCCCACTTCATTTGCTGGGCTAGATAAACGTCAAATGGCCATGTTTAGCCCACCGCAGTCTCAGCAACAATTCTCATCAAGGAATTTGGCCGAGGTTGCTGTCAGTAGTCTTCTGGGGAACCGAGAACTTAGCGCGCAAGAACTTCAAAGCATTTCAAAATACCTTGCTGAATTTGGCGCTGCAAGCGGAAAGCTTCAGTCAGGTAGCGCTCCTAATTCTTGTTATTTCTAGCAGGGTTATTTCAGTATTGTTAAACTTTATACATTTGACTTAGTTCTGAAAACATCTATTTTGCAAAATTCCCTGGTAGTTGCAAGGTTCCGATCATAGTGCTGTTGTCCTTTGACAATATGCTTTTGTCTTTATCTATTATTGTTTCCATAAAACCTACACTCATTAAGACCGTTCAAGCGTCAACCCTAACTTAGTTGGATGACCCAAGACTCACTTTGCACTTAACTCACTTTGTGTGCAATAGCTGCATTAGGCCCTGTTCCTGTTCATAGCGAATAACTTCTGCTTGAACCATCACTGCCCAGTTTAGATACGATGTTTTTAAATTTAGTATTGAGCTTTAAAGGCTACAATACTGACCAATTCGATATCATTCACTATTACCAACCCTGTCAATTTTGTGAAGTCTGGTTTTTAATTATTTGGATTCCTAAAGCTGACATCATAAATGCAGTCAATGCCGGCACTATGTCCGCCTTCTTGAATAACCCGAAATTGGCTGCGGCCGTAGCGGCATCCCTCGGTTCTGCTACCCGCGTCTCAGCCGCAACTAGCGTCTCTACTTCCTCGTCAACTTCCGCCCCTCTCACCACTGTAGGCGGCGGCACTTTTCTACCCCCCGCACCCACCGGTTATCGAGGGAGCATTACAACAGGCCAATCAGCTCAGCAGATTCAGCTGGCTCAACAGCTTGCCGCTCAGCAGCAAGCTGCTGCGCTCTACGCGAGCCGCGTTGCTCCACAATCACAACATGACTACACAACGAATGGATAACATCGAACGATTCAAGTCAAATTGGTCTCTGTAAAGTAGCAAGTATTTTACCAAACTTTTCTTTTCATAATAGTCATTGTCTTGAATGCATTTCCTGAATATAAATCATATATATGCATACTTTTGGGTGTGTCTTTGGTTCTACAACCACCTCTTAAGCTATTGCTAACCACTTTTGTGGTATTAAGTTTATTCGTTAACTCGACTCTAAGGATCGTCTATACTTGCCTCTGCTTGAATATGAAAGGCAGAGTACTTCATATTTTCGGTTGTATAGTACGCCGCTTGCTTTCTTGTGTTTAGGGACGAAACGTCATTGCATTTGCCTAAAAGCGTTAGATCCGCTTCACATCATCTATATCATCGCGGAGATTATGAATCACTAGACTTATTCGTTTCTAGTTCCCCGACCACTTACGCTTATCCCACAACCTGCACAAAATTGATAAAGTTGCGTGGCTTATGGCCTTCTTTGTTAGCCGAAGGCGTACTTTTTCTTTATTCGGGTTTCTGAGTGATTATAAGCTCCGGACTCTGGAGGCTTCCAAATGTTACTTGCGTCCACCTCGTCTCCGAAAAGGCACGACTTCAAGTGCACCTCCTTTTCGCATAACTCAGCGAGCTTCTTAATACCTGTAGTAGGGCGAAAAATAAAATTTCGAATGAAACCACTTTGGTGTTGCAGACATCTGGATATTTTTTTGACAGTCATATTTCTTTCACACTAACTTTTGAGCAAAGTTGTTCTGAATTTGAATTTACGCCTAAGTTACAAACTTTTTTATGACTGCTCCTGTGAGTTAATATAAAGACGATTTTGAGTACTACGGTAAACGATCAATATTATCATTGAAGTAATGACGATTCGAAAATGGAGCGGAATCGCTGCACTACTTTCGGACAATGCTGTAGGCCTCAAACAAATCCAATTTAAATTTATGAACAAGCTGGTGATCTTGTTTTAGCATTTAAGACTGGTTGCCGTATTGGTTTGCCTTGTGTTGTTTCTTGACTTAGCCTTGTGTCAGCCATCTGATTAGGTAACGGGTGTCAATTATTTATCCTTACACGTTATATCTTAATGCATACGTTTCTACCAACGGTTTTTCCTTCTCAATATATTGCCGATTTTGTGTTTTGCTTAAGTTAACCGCAAGCATACCTTCCGACGACATTCCATATTTATCCAAATAAGCCGAAATAAGAAGATTTGAGTAACGTGGTTTCTCAAAGAAGCAGAGATAAGGAACTGTTATGTCCGCTGTTTCCGCTGGAAACACCGGCTGAAAGCATCCAGCGCGGTGTCTAGCGTCGAGCATCTCGATGAGACAACGTAAGTCGAAGGGCGTAATAAATTCGAAAATGCCCTCCACAACCCATCGGAAGCGATCCAGAATAGGCCACTGGTTACTGGTTTTTGATGAGTTAGATTTAGGGTCTGTAGCTGTAATGGCCTGTTCGGATTTCCGTCCAGGCATCGCGAATAAGTGCGATTTTTGATCCTCATTTGTTTCCAATTGAGCGGTACCTGAGCCAAGCAAACATTGCCAAAATTTCATAAATTGAAGCAACGCAATGCACCTTTGCTTACCCGAAGCCTTAGAAGTTGCAGATTGCAATAGTTGTCGTCTTTCAAGTTTTCGCTGTTCCATAGCGAGTTTTCGGTCCCTCTGCTGTTTCAGGAAAGTAGTTAGGTCCGGTGATTCGGGTCCTGCCCCTTGAGATACACTTTTGGAGGCTTGTACGTCGTTAAAAAGAAATGATTGAGATGTAGGACGTACAACATCTTCGATGTTGGATTGGTTCACGGTGGTTAGACTTTCGACGCACTTCGACGAAGGAGTCTTTTCATTATCGCCAACGGGCACGGGGAATCCGGCCTCATAGGCTCGCAAGATGTAATACTTGTGTTTTTTACGCTCATCCTCGCTCAACCTGACCATCGTAATTCTACGGTCCAGTAGCCAGGGGTGGGATGCTGCTGGCGGTTTTTTGGTTTCTTTAATCCAATTTGCGGAACCTAGACACGTAAGTATGCCCGGCTTACCGAATGTGAAGTTCTACCGATAGAAAAAGTTACCAAGTGGAAGTGTAATCAAGTGCTGTCGAAGAAGCAACCATAACTAGATACATTGATTTCTGCACATTGCGACATAATATTGTTTAAACAAAAACCAACTGTTATCACTGCATTTTATCCACTTTTTTGCTAGTCTGTACATACACTTCTGGAATCCTCCCCGTTGAAGTCTCATACCAGGGTCTTTTTGTTAACTTTTACTCTTGAAATATGCTGGAAAAGGATAAGGCAATTTTTGCAACTACGGTTTTTATTACCGTTTTCATATAAAAAGTCATCTCCAGAGGGATTCGCATTTTGGTGGTGGTTTTCGTTTAGTTGGGTGTTGGATCGTACGTTATTTGGGTCTGGACTAATGTTCATGTGCTGAAATGGCGGAAGACGTAGATTTCCTGAGGTCGGAGATGCGAGAGGCATCTTCACAGTCCCAGCAGCAATATCTTTGGGTGATGGTAAATGAAGTCCTGCCAGGTTTAGCATATCCTTAACCACAGAGCCTTTAATTTTAGAATCTAGAGGCGAGTCTATATGCATGCTGAAATTTAAAATGTATTAAAACACTGAATCCGATTTATGTTAAACATCAATCAACAATAATCTAAACTTTGGTCGCAGTAAGTTCCACACAGTCTGCTGTGTGTGTGTAGACGAGTTGGTAGTCGTCACCGCACTTGTGAATTGCTTGGAGTGGACTGACGTGTAATGATATGTTTGCTGTGTCCTGAGGGTGTTTGGTGCCAATGTAGCATGGTCTATAACGAACCATGGACATCTCCAAACGAATTACAGATTGATGTACGGAAGAAAATAACATTTGTTAATAAGAAGGAATGGGTCACTAACTGCTATGCCGGAAGTAAACCGCGTTTAGAGAATAAACAGGTATTTGAATGGTTACGTAGAGACTGTTGGGGATTCGTGGTTCACGTCTCAACACGAAACAGTTCAATAGTGTGGCTATGGGCTACGTTAACGGTGGGTGAGCTAAGTGTTCTAAAAATTTCACAATTTTTTTTCTAAAATTTGGATAAAAAACCAATACAGTACCAAAAAACTACATTCGAAAATCCAAAATCTTGCAGTTATTGTGCAAAATTATCTCGATTTATCGTATTTCTGGAAGCAATGCCATAGGCATTACTGGTTGCAATATATTTATGGAACTAAAGTTAGGAAATCTACTGCGCCTAAAACAAAGTAGTGGTTTTTAGGCACAGCAAACGGCTTCCTGAAATGAAGACAAACGATCACGGACAAGCTGGAATAACAACGTAACTACACGTCTATGAATCTTATCATTTCCAGTCCACCTGATGTGCAATATATTTTTTGCGGTTGGTAATAAATACACGTCTTTTGTTTAAGCCAGAGTCCTCAAGGTCAAATTTACGAGACATAAATGGAATTCTGATTCTTTTTAAACTTATTATTTTGGCTAACCTTGGTGAAACATTGACCTCCAAAATCCACGGCTTCAAAGTTTCATCAAGAAAGATATCAAACCCGAAGAGTTCCTGAGCGCTATACGGCGAGTTACAGTAGGTGTCGACCGCAGTCTTTAAATGAGGTTCAATGGCGATGCATGTTTTAGCGATTACGTCCTTGATTGAACTCCACACAAGTTCGGGTTTGACGTTACGTGAGCGAAGAAAGGTCCAGAGCGCTCGGAGACTCCTGATCACGGTTAAGGAAAACGATCATTTACTTAGTAGCGGAAATAAAATAAAGGCGTAGAGGTATGTTAGAACAAATGTAGCAAGTACCACTTGTGGCCTTTGCAGGCTTCGTCACTCGTGTTAGAAACGTAGTCAACGTTTTGGCGGTTGATGGAGTAGTTCGTAAGGTGGACAAACCGATTCCCAACAAAACGGGGTGAGTTGGTGTATCTAAAGTAAAAGTGGGGAAACGATAGCAGGTGTCCTGTAGATTTTCACCTACTTCGTGCCTATATACGTGTTGGAGACCTCAAAATACCTTTAAACGCTCATAAATGTGACTACGATAACACAATTTTCATTCCATAAGTTAAGTCGAACCTGAGACCGTAAATCTAGCTATTTTAAAAAGTAAAGATATGTGGGTTCTTACTTGTGTGAAGCAAAGCGAACTAGGCCATCCTCGTGGACGTAAACGATTAACGGGTGGACAGAGTAGATAAAAACGTAGATACGGAGGTCAAATTTGCTGTTGTTGATTAAGTAAGGGTTGTGGATGTACCTTAGAGAAAAAAATACTAATTGGTATTAAATGAATGGAATCAAGCCGATTGAAACGCACTAATATGTACCTTTGAACAATTAGAGGCTTCTTCTTTGGAATCTGGGACCATTTATTTACAAGTCGTATACCCAGTCCTCTTGCCGATGCAGGCTAGATTTAATAATTAAGAAAATTTGAAACTGAGATTAACATTTCTAATGGGTGGGTTGATTGAGGACAACATAAAGTGCGGAGACAGTGCCCATGAAATGAAATCACAGTATGTACAGGTTAAACTAGTAGTTATTAGAGGTAAAGTTGATGCTTGCGTCGAATAATATGGCAACTAAAGTGTTGACAACCTCTTCTACTAAAAAAGGTGGTCAATTTTGGTCAGCATAATCTCAGATGTCGATAACTTGTTAATGTGTGGACTACACGTCCAAGTTACCTACTGGTTTAAGGATCCACTGGTGATCATCACCCTCTGCGTCCCAGACGGCCTTAAACTTCTCGACATCGGTCGGCATACAAAAGGTAAGAGGTGCGAAATCGAAATTCGCCACGCCGAATCTGCTTTGCATGGCTGAAATATTTCGCCACAATCTATCCTTGCGACCAAGGTGAAATGAACAGGGGAGATGGTTCACCTAAGATCAGAAGCAGCCTCGTTTTTACCACTTTTAATTATCACTGTCTTTGTTTGCGCATGCGATATTTGCTTGGTTATATATTAAATATATTTATGAGGACAGGACGGTCAGAACCAATTTCTATAAGTTGTTTACCAACGAACTCTTGGGTAAGATGCACGAGGACAGTGGCGGCAGCCCATAACAAATATTTGAGGCATTAAAGTATTCATTACTTCGTTGCAGGTCAAAAATTTGTCAAGGGAAAGAATGTCCTTGATTAACCTACAGGGTTCGCCACTTTTTAGTTTTGCTTAATTATTATCGAAATCTTGTATGAATGTAAACAACGGCTTCAATGAATCGAAAGTAAAGGATAAAGGCTGTAAAATCTTTTTGATTCCTTTTCACATTGTGGTAAACGTTGTTAGGAAGCGTGAGCAAACACGAATTCGGTCGATTTACTTCGATGCACATAACGTAGCTATGTTTGTTTAGTGATCGATGCGAAGTGATCCTATATAAACGGGCAACTGCTACTTTGTAGAATCACGCTATTACCATATCAATACACCATCTGAACTACGTTTTATCCGGATTCTCTGTTTCTTCTCTCATCGGGCCTTGACAGTGTGGGTGGTCAGCTCCGATTTGGTTCTCGAATCGCACCAGGGCTTCAACAACTTAAATGTCCAAATTTATAGAAAACTCACCTTTTGGTAGTCCCTAATTGTCAGAAATACGTCCGGCTTCATATGTCTACCAAAGTAATATATCCAGTCAGATGATTCTGAAAGGCGACCAAACGTTGATCGTGAAAATAATATTTGGGCTCATACTAAAAGCAGATGGACCAAGTTACCTGTTGCATCTAGTTCTTCAGTTGCTGTCGTTGCTGAAGTAAAAAAAATTTACAAGGCGTGAATCTAATCGCTTACGCAAATTATGAAATCATTTAAGAAGGAGCAACTGATGTGTTGATGTTACGGAAACGAAACGTTAACGTTAGACACTTCTTATCTCACTTTACACACTTTAATAGTCGCACTTTATGTGAGTCACCCACATGTCGATGAGCGAAAATGCGCCCTGATTAGAATTTGTTTTACAACCGCAGGGGTCATGAGACTTGGTCTCCAGTGCAGCAGTTTTCGGAATTCCCACGGTAAGAGGTCAACTAAAGAGGAAAACAGGAAAAGAAAATTCCGCAGGTTGGGGTTCAATTACAAAATAAACACATACTTTTGTCGTTCTCGTCAGGAAACCGAAGGCATGGTGGGACATTGGGAAAGAGAGAGAATATAAAGGCGGAGTGATACTTTGCTGCGTCTGATTTTTTCCGCTCACCGACACCGATGCTGGCCATTTCCAATTTCAAAGGTGTGGACCTTTCCAGTCTTTTCTCTTCTGCCTTTGGAAAACAATCCCCGAGATGGGCAGATTGATAAGCATTTGCACTTGTTCTACTTTCCGCGCCTAAACCCGAAACGCCCTGAGGCATATTATAGGAGATAATCACATGAAAGTGGACCACAGAATTAATCCAGACAGGTTACAAATCCAAATTTCAAGAATCAGTGGTATGAAAATTAACTCAATTAAATTATTCTTCAATTTCTGAGGGCTTATTGACAGCTATGCACGATTTCACTAAACCAATCACTGGTAGTCCTAATGCGAAAAACACTTATCACACAAAATGTGTCGATGGAGATTGCTAGGAATGTTGAAAATAAATTGAAATATAATTTAAACGTCGCCTAAATCGAAATCCACGACTCGGATAAAAGGTGAAGAATATCATCTTCTGAGTAATGAAGTTCTGGAAGCTTTACAATGTTTATTCAAGAACAATATTTGAGGAACCATGGTTCTAAATAAAATATGAAGCAAATTTACCTAATGTCGAAAACTGAAATTAGGTCACTGAAGTGATCCTAAAAACTTTGCAGTTATTAGTTATAGCAAAGGCTAGTTAATTTTAATACCCGTAATTGGTGTAGCAAATAATAGGCCTTAAAAGGCGCAGAATTCTAAGGTTCTTCATTTTTAAGAAGGCGTGATTACTAATGGTATATATATTTTACGTTGACAAACACTGACGAACCCCGTTTGTCCTGCTTAATATAAACTTCTGAATTTTTTTAAACTATTTTTAAAACGTTTTTTTCAAGGGACATACAATTTTTTTCTGATATAAAAACCAATTGATATTGTAAAAATCTCCAACTAAATGACAAAATAAAAACACTAGAGAAAAAATACCTGTGATTTAATTAGATTCTGAATGTATTGAAGGCTTCCAGCGTTAGACGATCTAGAACCATAAAGACGGAAAATCCGAACAGACAGTTAAATTATTTTTTTTAATTTAAATAACGACATATTTAGTGAACTGGAACACATGGCTGATAAAAAGCATTTAATATCTTTAAAAACCAACTCTGACGGCGTGACACATTATAAGTATCGGCTGGTCAAGTAAGCGTGAAACAACACATTTGTGTACTAAAATAATTTAAAAAATTCAAAAGCTTCCAAATTTAGTAAAATCAATTGTATTATGCACCTGTTTTTGGGTCCAATATCATTTACTTTCATCGTATTAGTCTCCTCATTTTCTGTTGGAATTATCGATGAATTCGCGTCTTTAAGTGCAAACGCTAATTTAAGCGATTGTATTCGTTACATACCCTTCGGTTGTAAAGCGCCATTAGTTATTGTTAGAGCATCTGTATCAGATTGGCCTTTAGCCAAAACCGTCTTGGATATATCACATCTTTTGATCGGATCATCTGCGAAAACAGGGCTCAATTGATGACCACTTTTTCTGTGGGGGTGAAGTTTTTCCAAAAATATTCGCACAGGCTCTTGAACAATAAAACCAAAACTAAGTGCTTGGACATTCTTCCTGGTATCGAAGGTCTTGGGGGATAATCCAAGTCGAGGACTGCCGTTCAATTCGGACGTAGGAGAAATGGAACCTCGACGGGAGCTATGTAATGAAAGAGCAGAATGCACTTGTCGGGGCCAGAGGTCCATAGTTCTAGAATAATATTGATCGCTTTCACAATTAACTGGAGTGCGTTCCTTGCTTAACTGCATTGCGATCTATTAGAATAAAAATCAAGCGCTGAATTATGGGTTTCCATATCAAATTCAGCTACCCAAGTTAAATTCTTTGCAACTGAAATTCGCCGATTTCATTTTCAGTATACGTTTTAAGTATATTAGGTTCATTCTTAGCCTGCATATTATAATCAAGTGTTTGTAGAAAATTGGCTTTTTATTCATGTTCGAGTGCCTTAGTCAACTTTTATGACATGGACATTGTAGCCACACAACACAAAATTGACAAATTACTATCTATCAGCACTGCATTTATAAGGCACACTTACACCTTTTATCTATATTAGCGTAGGAAGCACAATCGAACGTGATTCTGAAGTAACCGCAGTAACCTACCTTACACCTTCGGCCTTATTTACACCGTACATGCATGTGACGCAGTTAAACAAATAGCTGCCAAACTAAATGACACCAGGTTTTCCTATATAGGATCATGACATTTTAGTCATTATTTAATTTTCATACATTATGCTAATTTAATTTTGCTTTTGGAATTCGTAACTTCATTATTGTGGCAATGTAGTAATAAGGAATGGGAATTAAATTCATCGACAATAAAAGTATCCTTCAAGGGACGTTCATTGGGTAGTGACGCATTTCTTGGCGTTAAAAATCTATAATTTCTTCACAAACTATCACCAAATTCACTATCAAATAGTTTCAAACGTCTTCATTTTGCGCAACCTAAACAGACGGCAGAGGCTCATGAAGAGTTTCTCTGTAATTTTAACGCCTAGCAAATTTAGAAAGCTTTCGTCTTGAGAACAACACTTTTGCTAATTAAAATATTTTTGGATCTTAGTAAGAATCAGAATTAAAACAATGAATTTCCCCAGTATAAAATATTAAATTCTACACATTGTTAACCAATTTCGTTCAAGTACACGTAAGAGAATGATTTTTAATGCCCTACCTGGGCTTTACTGAGGTTAATAAAATATTTTTCACAAGTCCGTGCGTTAATCCTGGCACTTATATGTTTTCGTTGCTTTTATTGCTACATAAGTGTAACGGGAGCTAATTTAAATATATCCATTTAAAAAATTCCATATTAAAAATACACTAGAAGACGATGTTTTGTAGTCAGCACCTGACAGAAACACGCTAATACATTTTTCTCACCAGTCAAAGGCAAGTATTTTCAAAGCGATTTCGTTAAAACCTTTATCTGACGTTTCTCATTGTGACTACCATTTTATTAGAAGGAATGGAAATTATTCTGTCTGTGCTGGTTTAGTGCTGAAAAACCACCTTTTAAAATTAAATACCCATTTATTAAACGCAGTTTTAGACAATGGAAAGTGCTGTATTTGAAGAGGAAATATTGACACTTCGCAGACTCATCAACTGAACTTATCATCTTGGGATTCATAAAACGGTGCAGTTTTTATTAGAACTCCCAAAATTGTTATCCTTTAATTTAAAAACAGTTGGTTTTATTTCTGGACATTTCTTTTTTACCGTTATGAGGTGTTGTAATTGAGCAAGGGATATGAAAGTTAAAAGACTGTTAATCTGATAAGCACATTTGTTAAAGCACTTCTTTCATCCAATGCCTACTTTTACCATTTTGCATTAAAAACTGGCCTTGATGGAAAACATGAGTACCCGTTTCCACGAGCAAACCTTCGCCCCTCATTAAATGCCTCGAATTTTACATTTAAGCTTTCTGAACTTAGATGTGACACGCAAGCCTTCATTTACACCTTGCCGTTGTTGTACTCTTCAGTTTTCATTTGGACGTACTTGTTTGACACCGTGCACCAAAAAGTACAACATACTAATTGACCTTGATACACATTGAACTTGTTTTCTTTTCAATCAATTTTTCGGTTTATTTAATTGGATTTCTAAAATAAGCTGTTATTTTCTTGTTTCACCGATGAAAACTAAGTACTGTCCTTCTGCAAAAGAACACGCCCAATAGACAAATTTTAAGAATAGGCACGTCATAGGAACAAGGGCACGTAGCGGAATTGCGTAGTCTAGCAAAAGTAGTATTCAGCAAGAAAAAAATCATTGCTGAAAACCACCACAGGTAGGCCAGCTTACTGACCAGCCATAGATAAGTCAAATAATAAATATGGCATACTGAATAGCGTTGAGTGCTGTATTCGATCCTCTGCCTTAGAACATGATTTCTCCTACCGTTGCCAAATCAAGTCTGTACGAAACGGACAGTCGCAAACAGCTGGCTGTTTGACAGTCTCTACTTCAACCGACAAACAGAAAAAAGATTTCATAGTCCACTAGAACGCAGAACAGTAAGACTGTCTTACGGTGCAGTAAACAAAAGTATCAAAGATTTAATTTTATGTGCACACATGATCTGGTATAAAGGCAGTTGTAAGTTGCTACCTAAGGAAAAGTAATTTGTTTAAGCATGAAATCATGATCAAATGTACATGTCCTGGTTTTTTTAAAGTTATGTAATGCTTCCAACCGAGTGTTAGTTATTAAAAATCGCAGGTTCTTAGTCCTTGTAGAGTAGTGCATGTTAGTATTTTGATGCAATAATGAAAATATGGCATTGTTTTTGTCTGATGTTTCAGTGGATCGAAGAGGTTGGGTATTTACTGCTTAACCGCTTTTACTTTTCAATACTTTTCGGAACATAAATGGTAAGTACAAAAATAATGCTTTACTTAGATAAACGGCAAAGAAACTACTTTCAAAAGAGGAAGAAATGGCACATTTTGTATATTACACTGACATACAAAACAATAGAGACGAGATAAAGACCCGGAGCTTTCGGAGTTGCTATGGCATCTCTTGCTAAAAGATGACATTTCAATTGTGATAACAATTTAGGAATAACTGGTTGCTAGGTTACTGTGCTGATGGCGGCAACATTACATGAATATCATGCAACCAAAGAAGGCAATTAATTAAACAACGTACAACACGGTGGTTTTCTGATCGCTAAATAAGCTAACCTTTCAGGGTTAATACCAGTTGTTGAGCCATGTGAATGGGTTATGTAGCATGCTAAATTTCCATTAAGACTGTTTAATTTTTCTGTACAATTGTTAGCAATGTTAATTTTTCAAGGTGCATTGTGCAGTTCAAACGGTAAGTAAATAATTTTTGCTGGATATTACCTTTCATTACGAGTGATTTTATCAGTTATAACCTTTCTCTCCTGCTGAAATTTTTAATGCAGTTAATCTGACTCACGAGTGACTGTGCACTGATGATATTACAAATAATATCGGTTGAACCGGCCTCAAATTAAAG